CCGGGCGGGGGCTGGGGTCGCGCAGGGACCGCCCCCACCCGCACCCGCGGGCGCGGCCCGGGAGGGGTTGGCTGCCCACCCCCGGCTCGTGCGCTGACGTTCGCTCTTCCTTGTCGGGTCCTCACTCGGTACTGTGGCTCGTCTGTAGGGTTTGGGTAGGAGATCGTCGAGACGAAGAGTTAGGTTGCTCAAGGTGATCTCTGGAAATACTGCAAATTACGGTCGCAAAAGCCAAAGTTCTCCAGGTCGACTTTGCATCCGACCGTGCTCCCGCGCCGGGGATCGCACAGCCTACAGCCGCCCTCGCCCGTGAACCTTCTTCGGGGCTCCGCTCCCTCGCGTCCTCAGAGTAGAGGCGGCCTGGGAGTCCTGAAGTTTCCCCGAAACTCGTTCTTCTCAGTGGGGTTGATCTTTCACTTCGCGGGGATAGAATCCCCCGTGAGCGAGCAGGGTCCTCGGTGATTGAGAGCCAGCTCCTGTAGAGCGCAGGAGGTGACCTCGGCCAGGTGCGCTGTGGTCAGGGCCAGGTGGAGACCTCCAGGATGGTCTTGCCCAAGGCGGGAGGAGCCCTGGACGGGGAGGGCGGTGTTGCTAAGAATGAGTAGGTGACGCTGGAAGGGCATTTCAGCGGAGGGAACGGCACCAGAGGTTGCAGGTGGAACTGCCCTGCACCGGACCTAGGAGGAACGAGGGAGGAGGAGCGAAGCGTGGGTGATCCGGATGCCTGGCAGAGGGTTATAATCCTTTAAATGCCGTGCTTGCTATTTGAGTAGTGCAGACACTGGGGCAAGTGGGGCCCCAGGACTAGGCACGTAGAGAGTTTTGTGCACAGTTTCAGGCATGACACTCACGGTCTACTTGGAATGGTTTTATTTTGCTTTTTACTCTTTTTTTGGTGTGTGTGTGCCTGAGCATAAAACAGTTGAATCCGGCAGGTAATTTGCTGATTGCCTGCCGTATAACGGGCCTTTTTAGGTGGCAGGGCGCAGGAGTGGCCCAGACAAGGTTCCCCCTGAAGAGGCTTGTATTCTAATAGGAGGAAATAGAGAAACAGGATGAAAATAAGAAAATGATTGTTACATGAAATAAAAACAGGCTGATGTGACTTAGGGATTGTTGATGGGGCGGGCCTTTGTGCAGAGGTGGCCTTCAAACTGAGCAGAGGGAAGGGGATCGGAGACGTGCGAGGCAGGGCCAGCACATCTGAGAGGCCAGCATGCTCCCTCGGTGCCAGGCTCTGAGGCTCACACAGCTGACACCCCGAGAGAAGCCTTTGAGGAGGGCGCATTTGCTGTCACCCCGTTTCGCAGATTGGAATGAGGGGTCACTCGGGCCGTCCTGCTAGAAAGTGACCGAACTGGACTTTAGAAGGAGACTGCTTGACTCCAGAGTTCCCTTGCTTCATGTTGCTGTGACAGTCTCCTCGAGACGTGGAGAGCCACATAACGATGGATGTGTTGCTTGTCAGACAATCAGAGGCTGGCTGACGTGTTTGGAATAATTTCTGCACATTCATCTGAAAGAAGCAGACATCTCTAGCTAGAGTGCATGCTTCCAGGGCATGTTCTAATACTGCTTTTCCTGCCTCAGTTCAAGTAAAGGGTTTTATGGGTAAACACTTGGTCATAAATAAGTAAAAGAAGAGAAAATTTGTGAGGATCCACAGGTTAAGGAGTATTACTGACGTAGCGTTCTGCTGGCCTGGCTTTGGCCTAAACAGGGAAGCCAGCCATCCTAGGGAATGAGTTTTAATTTAGGCCCTCTTAAAATACGGGATTTTCTCACTTGAGTGTAAAAATACATCTCCTGAAGAGATGGGGCCCTGGGGGCCATAATTCATCGGCTTAGTTCAGTCATTTATCTGTACTTCCTGTGTCTCTCGTGAGGGCAAAGAGCATTTCCCCATCACCTCCTTGACACTCCTGGCCCTCTGCCCATCCTTACGACACTTATGGAATCACATTTAAACCTGTAACGCAGACTTGTTGCTGGGGGGGCTGGTCAGGAGGTCTTAATATCTCAACTGTAATTGAAAGTTTTCCACTTGAGGTCTAGGGTCACATGAGGCTGCTGACTTCATCTCAAAAAGAGGATGTTCTGAGCACTCACCGTGAGGATGTGATTAAGAAGCATGGCGCGGGCAGGTGTGGGTTCGGCTTGTAGCCCTGTGTGAGCAGGCTGGCCAGTGGGGCCCCTGTAGCCGTTGTGAGCCTCGCTCTCCTGTGTGCATGTGAAGGGCTGCTGTGTCCGTGAGTGCCATTGGCCAGATGAGGAGGCCAAGGCTGTGCTGCCGTACAGCTCAGGGGCCTTGGACACCGGCCTGGAGCCACAGTCTGTGTCTGCTTCCATGTCCCAACCCTGCCGTGGTACCCATTGGGGCAGGTGCTGCGCACAGGTTTGGGGGGCAGCGGTAAGCTTTCCCTGGGCGTCTTCACCAGCACCTCAGTCATCTGGTTTGGCTGGCAGTGTGCTCGGATAGAGAGGCTGAGGTCTGGCAGAGCAGCTCCTGACCTTGGGCAAGTGGCTTAAACTATTTGAGGCTCGATCGTCCTTAGTAAGATAGGGGTGATTAAGCTCACTTGGTTATCTGGGTTCTCATCAGTTAATTTCTCATGAAATCCACAACAGCATGTTGAAATAGGAGCAGATACAATCAATTCCACTTACAGATGACGAACGAGGGCACAGACGGCTCCCTCTCTGGGAATTGGATGGCATTTTCCTGTTTGTGGAGCGGAGGACCAGGCCCTGAGAGGACCAGGACTTGCACAGCTGGCTGCTGGTGCCCTGGGGAACAGCCTGGACAGAGCCTGGGCCTGGAGAGAGGGGTTGCCGGGGGGCGGGGGGGAACCCGAGGAATAGACCGGAGGAGGGAGACCTGGGTGCAGTGGCCTGTGGTGTGGACCAGCCCCAGGGAAAGTGTGTCCACAGGACTCCACGGTCAGCAAGGGCAGCTCCTGAGGACCAGCGGGAGGAGTGCGGGCCAGGTGACATTAGCAGAAACAGAAGTCCACCCAGTGCTGCTTTGCATGTCACGTACCATTCTGGCTGTCCACCGGAGTCTCTTGCTTGTTTCTTTTTTTTTTAAGATTTTATTTATCTTAGAGCACGCACGCGTGGTGAGTTGAGGGCAGAGGGAGAGGGAGAGAGAATCTCAAGTAGACTCCCTGCTGAGTGCAGAGCCTGATGTGGGGCTCCATCTCACCACCCTGAGATCATGACCTTAGCCAAAATCACAAGGCGACGCTTAACCGACTGAGCCATGCAGGCGCCCCTCTTGCTTTTTTCTTTTCCCTGGACACCTCCTGGCAAAGACACCCAGAAAGAAGAAGTGAATACTGAAGAAATTTGCTTGATCGTGTTGGTGGAAATGGGGCAAAGTGATGAGATCCTTGAACATTTTTATTTAAAGTATTTTGTATGTTTCTCAGTTACAGAATGTCCGAAGGTGACAGTGTTGGAGATTCTGTCCATGGGAAACCTTCTGTGGTGTACAGATTTTTCACAAGACTTGGACAGGTTGGTTTTTTTGTGTGGATGAATTGCAGAACTGACCTGAACTGATGAATTGAACTGAGTGAGAAACGGTCGACCTCGGGACGTGTCCCTGCAGGGCACCGGGGCGCTAGCTGCTCGCTTTCCCCAGTCTCAGTTTACACTTCCCCTCTGCTGCGAATGTGCTCTGTGCTCTGTAAAGGGCCAGACAGTGGTTTAGGCCTTGGAGGCCACCTATGTTCTCTGCCCTACACTGGTTTTCTGTTTTTTTTTTTTTTTTTTT